ATCTTAAATGCAAAAACATTTTGTCTGTTTTGAAGATTAACAAAGACTAGAAAAGCATGAGAAAGATGAGTATTTATCACTTCAGTAGTGTTTGGATTATTGAGTTATGGTTAATGGATGGTCTTTAATAGGATTAAGAATAAGTTCATTAGCTATTATCACACATGGTCAGGCAAATCCTCTGTCCAAACATTATATAGTTAAGCCACAGAAGACGCTGTGGAAAATAGACTCAAATACTGCCTGTAAGAGTAGTTGGTATGAATCGGAGCACTACAAGCAGTAATAGAGCTGTGTGGAAGACAGAAGACAAACATCATACTTTTAAGTTTGCCAGTCTACCCTGGAATAAATTAATTTACAACTCTTGATGTATTTCTGCTCTATTGCTCTAAATGATAATATAGTATGTATTATGAGAGATTACAGTAAGTTGTAGGAGTTCCTCACTTATATAAATGGATTGAACAGGGCCAGGTGCAGTGGCTCATGCCTGTAATCCTGGCACTTTGGGAGGATGAGATGGGAAGATTGCCTGAGCTCAGGAGTTTGAGACCAGCCTGGGTAACATGGGAAGACCCTGTCTCAATCAATCAATCAAAGGATTGAACAAATTCTGTACCTGCTATATTTATCAGATATCATGTATAATATCTTTGTGTATGGTTAATAAATTCTAAATAGAAAAGATTAAGAAACGAATCAACAAGATTGGGTACCAGAACAGCAAGTAGATAAGATATTATCCAAGTCACATGATTATAGAGAACATCCCCACATTTTGGTAGCAGCATAAAACAGACAAACATCTACATTATTTCATTTTCCCTAAAGAAAATAGAACTTCACATGAGCTGAAATGAACGTTTGTATCTTGATGGGTCTCTGCTTTGTCATTGTCTTTAGTATGCCTCTAAAGTAAAAACAGGAAAATCCTCATCTGAATACCTACTGAAGTAAGGTTTCGGCAAAGTCTTGTAGAAACTTATGTTCTCTAGTCCTTAGGACAGAATTGAAAGGTGGGAGGGGCTTGGCTAAAGGAATACTTGTTTGGTACTAGAGTAAATGAAAAAGCAAAAACACAGGAATTCTGGGGTCCCATGTGTAGCAAATATTTGTCTTGAGTGACAAATATTTTTTCCAAATTCTCCTATTTCAGGATGGACTCTGAAGCTTTAAACATTAAATAGAGACTATATTCAGGTATAAAGCAAGCCTGTAACCTTTGTCTTAAGATTCAGTTCAATCTTGTAAATCAGAAATTCAAATATCAAATCATTCATGATTTATTCAGCTTTGGATATGGGCATTTAGAAACACATCCTGTCAAAGTATAGAGGTGTATTTTAGTCATTTGAGGCACATTCTCAGAAGTCTATCCCATCTACAAAGATACATACATTTCCTTTATGTAATTTTAAGTTATAAGAATGGGGAACTTCTTTGACAGGACTAGTTTATGCAAACTAAGATGCTGAATGGCCAGCAAAGTCTTTGATATGGGAAAGTCCATGAATTTTTTAGATCACATTTCATATAGAGAGAGTGGTTCATTGTGGGAGCTATTCACTTAAACAGATTTACACTATATTTTAATGTGCAAATTAGTATTCAATGTAGCGAAGAGACAGCTTCATACTTGGAGTCATAAACAGAGGTTTGAAAACAAATCACACTGTGAGGCAAAGTAGGGTCAATTAAGGGGGTTGCCATTTACACAAGTCCCATAGATGGGATAAGGTTTTCTTTTTGGTGAGCCTTTGGATGGGATGAGAAGGTCAGTTGTGGACAGTAACCTCAAACTGAAGGAACTGAAATAAGGTTCTGAGCTTTATTCAGTATATTCAGCAGAGACAGGAAACTGTCCAAGATACTCTATTCTTTCTTAGGGAGTTGAGCAAGGGAGTTGATAACATGTTCTCATTTGGCATTGACATGATCTGTGGCCTATAGAAAGTGAATAAGGCAGGCTCTTTATCTGTGAGGGAATCCGGAATTTCAGTGAGTCCTCAGTCACCTAAGAAGGATTGTCTTTTGGGAGGAATGAGGGGCAACCTAACAGGTATAAATCCTTCCTTTTTGGAAAACAATACAAGATATTATTCTAGACATAATTAGGAGATATTTCCAAGGAATCTTCTTTATTTTGATCAGTATTTATTTATTTATAAATTTCTGTCAGAGTGGGGGAAAATATTGTTCAATACAGATTCCACCAGAATTGTAGCTAAGTATCCACATGCCAAGGTGAATTTCATCCTCAAGGTATTTATCTATGCATACCGGCATCCATGGAGATGGTATATAACTAACCATGCAGATTATTCCCAACTGTTCCCTAATTCTTGACCTTAAGTTCTCTTTAGGATCAGCATTCCCTTAGCCACTTTGTGGCTTACTGAGATCTATCTATCTGCCTAAACAGAACACTCAACTGTTCTTATTCTATGGTTCTGGCCACTGTACCAAGCTCTACCTGGTAATGGGGACACTGATTCTGTTGTTTTCATATCCCCCAAACTGATTTGGGGTTCTGTTGTCCCCCCTCCCTACTGGAGATTAATCTTGGGTGAACAGGAGAGAGGTAGTCACAGAGTATGGGATTCCTTCTTATTTGCTATAACAGGCACAGATTATTGTAGCTCAAATAACAGAAATCCAAGCCATTAGTGGCTTAAATATCTCACACAATCAGAGGTCTGGAAATGCAGATGAGGAATGGTACAGCAGCTTAGCTATACTGCCAAGAATTCATCTTCCTGCCATATGTCCTCTTTGTCTTCCTCAGTTTTTGGTTTCTGTTATTGTGGTTGTCATTATTGTGCTTTTCAGTTCACAAGATGACTGCCACATCTCCATGTCACATCCCTGGTAAAGGTGGGAAAAAGGAGTAGCAACTATGTTCCACTTAATCAGAAAAGCTAAACCTTTCTCAGAAACTCCCCAGAAAAATTTCCTTCTACCACATTGGGTTAGCCAACTACAAATGACTGTCACAAGAACCATGGATATTTAAATTCTCAGTTTTCTTTGCATGCTCTTCATCTCTCATAATCCCAGGAAACTTGATATAGTCTGTATAGGACAGATACTGACTTGGCTCATTTACTACCCATTTGCAGTCACATTCTCCATTGCCTTTCTCTACTCTACAAGTTAGAGACCTCTAAATGCTTAATTTCTCATTTCTCTTGCTGCTAAGGGTGGTCATGTGACCTGGTTCTAGCCAATTGGATGTGTGTATCTTCCTTTCCAGAATAAAAAAGGCAAAGACTCACTAGGAAATGCTCTTTGTCATTCCCTTCTCTTCCTCTACAGAATATAGCTTTGATGCCTGAAGATACGACACATATCTCATGACTGTGAGGGGATGAAAATGGATACCAACAAAAAGAATTAATTTGGAACATTATGGCACTATGGATTCATCCATCTTTTGGGAGGCATTGGCCTCCCAAAGTGTTAGAATTACAGATGTGAGTCACCATGCCTAGCCTTAGCAGTCCGTTTCTAACTTTACAACAGTCTCCTTGCCATTCTCTCAGCTAACTTCTACACATTATTCATATTCAGGTCTCAGCTTAGATATTACCCTATTTAGAAGCTTCCGCTGATTGAACTGAGTGCCCTTTCTTTGTACTCCTGTATCACTCAATGCTTTTCTCCTATACTTATCATACTATACAGCATTTTTTTTGGTTAACTTATTCTGTCTTTTGCACTGGATTGTAAAGTCCTTTAGTGGTGGAATTATGTCTTTCTCAATGCTGAATACCTTAAGTCTACTATGTAGTTGGTAAATAGTAGTTGCTCAATGAATATTTGTTAAATGAGTCTTAAGTCTGGAAGACCTTGCTAAACTATTTGGAGAGAAATAGATATTCGGCATTTCTTATTTAGTGAATAGATTATTCTGATGGCTATTTCCCTTATCTCTATGCTTTTGGCTTACAGTTTATAAAAAGCAAATTAGTTGAGAAAAGATATAAAATGATATAATTAGAAAGTGATATAAAAATAGTTAAAATTGTAAGATAAAGAAAGCTAAGTGAAACAATAAGGTTGTGGGATGGACTGGAGGAGAAAAAGCAAGGAACTGATTGTCTTTTCGGAGCTTACTAAATAGAGTGTACTTTGCTGGTAAGTCTCATTTAATCCTCACAGTAAGTCTTTCTGGTTGATACATTATGCCTGTATTAAAGACAAGGAAATTAAAGATCAGATTAGAGCAAAATAAGTTGAATGACCTCGTATCTAAGAAGCAAATGAAAGAAATGAAAATCAACCCTAGAGAGTATTAGGAAGAATATGTGAGCATAAACCATCCCTTACTTTAAGGGATCCTTTTTCTAGGTCTGGGTATTACCTTTGAGTTTTCTCTCTGAACTGTATTGTATGTAGGGATACTTGCTTTCTTCCACCAAGATAAATTCCACCTTCTTACTGAAGTTCCTTCTTGAGCAAAACTTGCTTCATTAGATTTATTTTCTGATTTAGGTAAACTTTTTCAAGTCTAACAAAGCACCCTGACCGCTCTTTCAAGAAACTGTCAGCAACACAAGTCGTGAATACCAACGCAAGACAGACTCTCACTGTAGATCACACAGGAAAAAATAAAAAAGGTAAAATCCTTAAGAGTGGTAGTGTTTAAATGACCGTATACTGCTTAGTAAGAAATCCTGGAGTCAGTCTCCAGTTCCCCATTTCCTACTTTAGTTAAGCTGGATCAAGTCTCTTTAAAAAAACTTTCTCCATTTTCTTGTTCATAAAAGGAGGATACTAGTAAGTCTTCTGCCCACCTCGGGACTTACGTAAGGATCAAACGAGACGTTATATGTGACAACAGTTCACAGACGTTTACTAAAACGCTGCAAAATGTTTGTAGCTGGCCATATACAAGATCGTGCAGATTAGGTTCCTGGGCGGAACATATCCAGAGAAGGCCGGTTGGTAGGAAAAAAAAGCCGAGCGTTGCCACGTGACGTCATCACTCCGCGCCCTCTGCGACAGTTCCCCAGTTAGGCTCAGAGCGGAGTTTCGCGTCATGGGGATTTGGCAGCGTCTGCTGCTTTTCGGTGCGGTGTCGCTCCGGGCTGCTGGTGGGGCCACTGCTCGGCTTGGAGGAAGCCGAGCCATGGTTTGTCGGCGCCAGGTCCGTGGTCCTGCAGGGCATGGGGAAGCGGGCGGACAGAGATGCTGGGCTGCAGGGCCGCAGATGCCCGACCTCCTCCCCGCCCCGCCGAGTGTCCTGGACGTGCCTACTTTGCAGTCAGAGCCAGGCTGAGGCGTGGCGGGACGTGAAACACAGTTAGAACGTAGATGTTTTCTGCATTGCTTTCTTGGCTTTGAGTTATTTAGCAAATAGATTTTAAAAAAAGCAAAACACGTGGAAGCCTAAACTCCTTAAAAAGGCAGCCTATTTACTTTCCATTTTTAAACGTTCAGCGTATCCTAGTAGAAAAAAAATCAATTTAAGCAATGTGTCTTTACAATTGTTACCAGTAGAAGTAGGTAAATGTCTTCAAAGTGGAGATGAGCAGAATTAGAAAAGAAAGCCCTCTTAATGGCGAATCCCAGATTGTTTTTACTTTTACAATGTGGTGATGGAGATGGCTTATTTAAAACGGCTTTTTAAAAAATTTATTTTTTACAAAAAGTTATCTGGCGCCGAGAGTGAGACCCTAAAACAAAGAAGAATACAAATCATGTCTCGAGGACTTCCAAAGCAGAAACCGATAGAAGGTGTTAAACAAGTTATAGTTGTGGCTTCCGGAAAGGGTGGAGTTGGAAAATCCACTACAGCAGGTATTATAGAATATTAATTCTGTTCCTGATTAAGAACTTATGCCAACTAGCAAGGTTATACAAATTGCACAAGCCAACCACTTAGCCTAGTGTTTACTAGTGTTCAATAACTGGTTACGTTATTATTTTTAAAACATCTAGTAACTTTAATACTATTTAATAAATTATTTCTGTTTGGGGATGTTCTTTTCCAGTTTCTTTAGTTTATAGCTACAAATTTACAATGAGATTGTTTAATTATTGTGCCTTTATTTAACCATAATATAATTTTCAACATTTATAAAGTCAATATACATCTAATACTTGAGAATGCTTAAAAAGATTTAACATTGTTTTAATTATTTAAAATGTTACCTAATCTTTATATCTTTTATATTATCATTCAAGCAGATAATTTTTTTTGGTGGGTCTTTTTATTGGTTATAGATTTCATTGTCATGGAAATGTTGCTTTCAGAACTCGTAAAAGAAATGCCACCAGAAATAAGAGTTAACAGTCAAGACCAATAACCAGATATTGCCAAAAATTTCAAAAGAAAACTTTTATTTAAAAAAAAAAAACCAGTTTAATAATGTAAACAGGAAACCTTTCTCTTTCCAGTGGTACTCACCAGGGTTAAATTGTATTTTTTTTTTTTTAAATTTGTTGAGTTATAATTGACAAATTATAGTTGTATATATTTGTGATGTAGAACATAGTTTTGATATATGTCTACATTTTGAAATGATTTTCACAATCAAGCTAATTAACATATTCATCGTCATATTACTTTTTTTTTAAGATGAAATGATTTTCACAATCAAGCAAATTAACATATTCATCATCATATTACTTTTTTTTTTTTTAAGATTAAGTCTTGCTCTGCCACTAGGCTGGAGGGCAGTGGCGTGATCTCGGCTCACTGCAACCTCCGCCTCCCTGGTTCAAGCGATTCTCCTGCCTCAGCCTCCCGAGTAGCTGGGACTACAGGCATGTGCCTCGATGCCCAGCTAATTTTGTAGTTTTAGTAGAGATGGGGTTTCATCATGTTTGTTTTGCCAGGATGGTCTTGATTTCTTGTCCTCGTGATCCACCAGCCTCGGCCTCCCAAAGTGCTGGGATTACAGCAGTCAGCCACCACGCCCAGCCGGAAAATTACTTATTTTTGTTTGTACTTTCTGTGTTCCTCTATGTGCTTGTTCTTTACAAATAAGGGTTATATGTTAAAATATTTTTATGCTTAGGTTATTACATTGAAAATATTAAAAGGTAAAATGAATAATAGAAGGAAAATTACTAAATTTATTTATTTTGTTTCTTACAGTGAATCTTGCACTTGCACTAGCAGCGAATGATTCGGTAGGTGTTTATTGATATAAATATTAATTTATTAAATGTTAAAATGATAAAGAGCATATTGGTGTTTTTTCATTTACTCTATCAGAAGCTATAGTGTAGTTGTAGTGAGTTGCATATCTTTAAGAAACTCAGTGCTGCCCTCACTTCTGGTTACATTTAATAATAATAATATATTTAAGTGTTAACCATTTATTGCTTGCTACATATCCCATAAAAGGCTTTGATGCTCTTGTGTGAAGGTTATATCCTAAACCAATTTTGCCTTTATGATTTACAGAAGCATTATTCTGGGTTCAGTTTTTAAGTGTTGGGAATTAAGTTTTTTTAAGGGTAAAAGCTGTTCTAAAAGTAGTGCATATCCATTAAACCAAAATTCAAACAGAATATGTGTGTAATGTAAAACTGAAAGTTTGTGTATTCCTTTCTGTTCCAGAGAATTAACTTAGGCAATAGTTTTATGTGTATCCTTTCAGCTCTTCCTTTCTCCATATAAAAATCTAAAAAAAAATACATATATGTGTGCGTGCATACATCTTTCCATGATATGCCTCATTCTTTGTGTGTGTGTGTGTGTGTGTGTGTGTGTGTGTGTGTGTGTGTGAGACGGAGTTTCACTCTTGTTACCCAGGCCGGAGTGCAATGGTGCGATCTCGGCTCACCGCAACCTCCACCCCTGGGTTCAGGCAATTCTCCTGCCTCAGCCTCCTGAGTAGCTGGGATTACAGGCATGCGCCACCATGCCCAGCTAATTTTTTGTATTTTTAGTAGAGACGGGGTTTCACCATGTTGACCAGGATGGTCTCGATCTCTTGACCTTGTGATCCGCCCGCCTCGGCCTCCCAAAGTGCTGGGATTACAGGCTTGAGCCACCGCGCCCGGCGATATGCCTCATTCTTAATGGCTGCTGCATTAATGGTCAATGACACTATATTTAACCAGTTGCCATTTGATGAAATATTTAGGGTGGTTCCCATTTTTTCCCTACTCTAAATGATGCTACGGTGGAATTCTTACATAGTATTCTTATACACTAAGTGATGACATTTTTGTAGGATAGATTCCTAGAAATAAAATTACTAGGTCAAAAGATATTCTTATTTTAAATTTTGCTCCTAAAAGTTTGCTTGTAAAAAATTTGTTCCATTTTTTCCCTTGTGAGAAGAAAAAATAATTCAGCTGTAGTCTGTGGGAGTATCCATTTTTCATAGTCTCGTTATTGTTAGATGTTATCTTTTTAGATATTAAAAAAAATTAACATTGAACTTATTTGTAACTCCATAAATTATCAGCTACTTAATGAAAAGAGATGTATTTCAGAATTGATTTTAATTTCTCCTTCAGGCCTATTTTATAGAATACAGGCAAGAATCCATACCTATTTTATATAATACAGGCAAAAATCATTTAATATGTTTAACTGTGGCTATACTGCCAACTTATTTTCTACCCTTACTATGTAACTTCAGTTCCTAATAAATAGCACATATGAAAAAATAATGGTGGTGTCTATGTAAAGTATGATATCAATGTACGGAGTCTGGAATCTGCCAGACCCTGGAACTAGACATAGGTATTCATATCTTCTGATGCTTGGCTCTGTATTTCTGAAAATTGGAAACTAACAAACAAGATTTATAGTAATTTGGTTATGTAAATTTTATTCACTGTAGAAGCAGGTTTTTTTCTTAAAAAATCTTTTTCAACTTGCTTCCTTTTATGGAGGACCTACTTTCATCTTTCCCATCTTGCCCTCTTTCTTGAATTCTTTTTTTGTTTTTCTGAAAGACATCCTTGAGTCCTTTTATGGTTTGGTAGGCAGAATAATGGCCTGCCAAAAATGTCCACATCCTAATTCCTGGAACCTGTAAATATGTTACTTTTCCTGCCAAAAGGAACTTTGCTGGTGTGACTAACACCAGCAAAATTAATGATCTTGGGAAGATTATCCTGGATTATCTGGCCAGGTCCAGTTAAAGATCCTTATAGATGAAAGATGGAGGTAGGTCAGAGTCAGAGGGATTTGATATGAGAAGGATTCAATACTTCTCATATGTTGCTGACCTTGAAGATAGAAGGGGACCACTATTCAAGGAATGTAGTCAGCTTCTAGAAGCTAGAAAAGGCAAGGAAATTGATTTTTCCCTATAGCTTCCAGAAGGTAATGTAATTCTGCCAACACCTTAATTTTAGCTCATTGAGATCTATTTGGACTTCTGTGATAATATCTTACAGAAGTAGGAAACTAATAAATATGGGAAGTAAATTTGCTTATTTCTTTAATTTCCAAAGGCATATTTATTTTTTCTTTGTTATTTGGTAGTTTAACTAGATTTTAGTTAACTATAGAATTCCAGTTTCAAAATAATGTTCTCTCTGAACTTTGAAAACAACATTCCATTTTTTTCTAGTATGCTAACAAAATGTCTGATGCTAGTCTGATTCATATTCCTTTGTAATAACAAATATTTTCCCTCTCACACTTTTAAGGTTTTCTTTATGTCTTTTATGTATAAAAGTGCCACAAGCATGCATGTAGCTATTGGCTTAACCTGTGTGGGATTTGGCCCTGCAGTGTCAAGCCTTGAGTATTTTTCAGCATAGGAAAAATTTCTTCTGCTCATTAATTATGTTTTGCGATGTATTTATTCTGTCTCCAGAAACCTATTAAGTAGATGTTGAACTTTATGCTTGTTAATTTTTCTCTCATATCTCTATCTCTTTGTCTTTTGTTCTGTGTTTTGAAAGATGTCTTTGACTATTTTTCACACTGCTGTATTGGACCTTAGTTGTTATTAGGTTCTTCTGATTTTGTTTTTCACTTGGAAATTATATTTTTTCCAATTTTCCAAATTATATTTGTTTTCCAAAAAATAAGAAATTATATTTTTCTTATTTTCCACTTGCTGTTTCTGGAAAAAAAAAAAAAAGATTGTACCGTTATCTTGAATCTCTCTGAGGATGCTAGTTGGAATTAATAAAAAATGTTTTTCTTAGTGACCTCTGCTTACTTAGGATGGTTCTTATGTAGCTGTCTGACCAGCAGAATCTGCTTTAACCTGGGAACTTATTAGACATATAAAATCTTGAGCCCTATGCTAGACTTACTGAATCAAAAACCCTTACTGAATCAAAAACCCTGGGATTAGAGATCTGCAATCTGTGTTTTAACCAACCCGCTGGGTGATTTTGATGCATGCCAAAGTTTAAGAACCATGGATCTAGAATTTTTAACTTCTAACCTGCTAATGTCACTCTGTTTTGTTTTCTAGTGTGGTTATGGTTTTATTTAGTTTTAGACATTTTGTTTCCATGTCATTTGAATGGAATTCGGAAGAGAAGGGAGATAAACATACATGTTTAGGGAACCTTATTGAGATAAGAGCCAGTAATAGGTTTTATTCCTAGTAATTTTAATTATGGCACTTAGTTACCGTAGAAAAAGGACCCTGTCTTCCTTAAGAAAGAAATAAGGAAAATTCAGTGGATGGAAAGGTAGATAAATTTGTAGGTGTGGACCTCTTTTAATTTGGGTATCATTTTAGCCAAAGCTTTGAGTCTTGTAGACAATGTGAAGAAACTATATAATAAGGGATCAAAGAATGAAGAAAACAGTTAACCCATTTCCTGTTTAGACAAAAAAAGTACAGCTCGCTGCCGGCGCTCATTAACTTTACATCAATGCGCTCTTTGAGGCTGAACCAAATCTGACTGATTTTCAATGTGAAAATAAAATATAAAAACTCTTCTTGGAGTTATTTCTAAACAGAACTAACATTAGAATTGTCTGAATCATCAGAATCATCTATTTCAGAAAAATTGGATTCATCAAATGAATCTTTGGCCAACAACTGTTGGAGGATATTAACATCACCCTTAGGAATGCTTCGTTTTCTAGGATTTGACATTTTCAGTGATTGAGAATTACTATATTTTGTAAATTGAAATACTACTACTAAAGATAGAATGCTATAAATAGAGTGATGTCTTTTGTTTCCAAAGTTGATATACTAGAGTGATGTGAAAATAATAAAAGCAAGATATTTTGTGATGTGGCAAGATCTAATAAGATAAGGTTGTAGGCCTACGGGAAACAGGTCTAGGAAGCTATTCACTTTACTTTTCATATTGTACTTAGTAATAGCCAAAGTAGATTGTGTAAGCCCCAGAGAGATTTGCAAGACCGTTAATTGGGATATGGGCAGAAAATTTTTCTTTTCTATTTGAATTAATTTTTATCTTAATTTTTGTTTGTATATACCTTATATATGGTAATTAGTATAGTAGTTCTAATATAATTTATAAACAAATATATTGACATTGAGGATGTATGCCCAGATACCTTTTTAAAAACTGGTTGGGGTGCATGATCAGAAAAGTTTGAATTTCACTGGTCTAGGCTAAAGGAATTTCTGGGCTGGACCTTATGCCCAGTTCAAAAGAAGACTACCTTGTGCATTGATGGTTTTTTTGTTTGTGTGAGATAGGATCTTGCTCTGTCACCCAGGCTGGAGTGCAGTGGTGTGATCTCAGCTCACTCCAACCTTCGCCTCCTGGGTTCAAGTGATTCTCATGCCTCAGCCTCCTGAGCAGCTGGGATTACAGGTGCCCACCACAGCGCCTGGCGATTTTTGTATTTTTAGTAGATACGAGGTTTCACCCTGTTGGTCAGGCTGGTCTTGACCTCCTGACCTCAAGTGATCCACCTCAGCCTCCCAAAGTGCTGGGGTTACAGGCGTGAGCCACCGTGCCTGGCCTTCATTGAAGTTTTAAAAGCATTATAGGAATAGGATGTAGATTTTTCCTGCCTTTTCCTTTCCTTTTGTATGTTCCTTTGAGGATGTGGATGATAGTATTACAGTGCAAAATTTGGGGATCATGTGTACTATGCATATAAATACTGCAAGCAGTGGTGTGCCTGAACCAGTGGTGTGCCTGAACCAGCGCATACTGGCTTTTGAGAGCTGATTGTTAAATTTTCAGTGAATTTTGCAAACCAACTC